GAGGAAGGGAGGGCGTGAAGGGCTGGGCCCCAGACAACCCAAATGTCCCCCCAGGCCCCTTGGGCCTCCAGAGCAATCTGTTGGCAGGGCCTCCTGCCCCAGATCTGGTGGACCAAATAAAGGGAGGGGGGGGGAGGAGAGGAGAGCTTGTCTCTAGTATTGCTAAAACTGCAGGTTGGTGCTTGAGGCAGAAGTTTCATACTGCCTCACGTTTTTGGAGGTCGCCAAAACCTTGGACATTCCAGGTTAGCATTTTCATCTTAGACGGTTGGAGGAGGAGGCCAGTTGAGGAGACCGCCTAAGGTGATGTCTGTTAGGACAGGCATGGGCAGAGGGGATGGGAGGCGCACCTGGAAACTCCGTGTGGGCTGAGCTGCCTTCAGAGGTGGGAATGGAGGCCATGCTTTCTCTCTTGTCTCTTGCGTCGAGTCTTGCTTGAGCATCAGATTTTAGGAAGGCTTTGATGTCTTCCTCAGGGCTCTCGTAGGGAAATCCCATTACTTGTAGCACTCGGAAGATGTCTCCTTGAGCCGAGTCGACGCCTTCAATAAATGAGGATGTCACCGAGGCTGAGGGATCTAATGGAGTGGAGGAGCAGGAGGAACTGTTGTGGGTGCCAGGGGAGTTTGGGCCAGAAGTAGGGGAAGAATTGCTAAAGTCAACTGCTTGTCAAGTTATTTGTTGTGCTACAGAAGAGTATTGAATGTGTGATAAAATGCCTACCAGTGTCTGACTTTTCTGTTAAATGTTTGATAGAGCGATCTCGTTTTACTTTCTAGAACTAATGATACTGTCTTGATGACATGTATGAATTTTCTCAAGGGTGGAAAAATTTATAAGGTATCCATATTGCTTAATTTGTAGCATGCTTATTCAGATAGTTTGCTTTTGCCTATGATATTGTAACCATGTTCCATCTTTTCTGGTTCCTCTATATATTTAAGAGGTTGAGTTTATAATTTTCCATGTCTCTGAGAGTATAATATATTTAGCTGTTTGGTCTGATTTGCGTTACATGGTCCATGTATACATTCTCCGTAGTCGGATTTATCAGTTCCTGCTATATAGTAGTTCAAAAGAGACATTAGATATGGGTGATGCTCATTTCAGAATCATGTCGTAAGGAACTCCCTTTGCAATGAAAGTACCGCATGACAACAAAATAATTAAGCCTTGCCAAAGCAGAGGTTTGTGAAATATTCCACCAGTTCTGAATAGGTTTCAGAGATGATCTTAAACTCCTTGTGAACAATCACCATGGCAGTGAGGTGCTTCATGGTCCACCTCCTGCGCATCAAAGTTTGAAACCGTATACCCTGTTTTCAAGGTGTTTGCATGTGATATTCTTGTCTTAGCAGCCAACACTGAGGCAAATTTTGCGAAGCCAAAATTTTGCAAAATCATTGGGCATGGAGAGTACCCTCCTGAAAACTCTTACGAGCAGACGCCCTTGGCTCTCAGTTACAAATCCTTATGTGCTGCCTATGAGAAATAAAGATTCCTCATTTCTGTCAATGGATGGACTAACCCACTTTTCCCCTTATTCATTGAGTAGGTAGACAAACAAACTCCCTAAGGTGACTCCACAACTGTATGCTTTCCTTCCCATCAGAACAATCTCCTACACCATCTCTAATCCAAGTATACGTCCAACAAATCCAGAAGACATCTCATGCCAAATCAAGCTTCTGCACACCACACATCACCCCATAAATTCCTCCAACTACTTTCTTACCTTGAACCTACAATGCTCTTCCCAAATGCATCACACACTGACATTAGCTTCCATACGTAGTTTCCAGAATAATCAAGGTTTTCTACCTCATTCCTCCCCAAACCTCCTTCCCAAGATCAACAAGCTAAGCTTTTGCAGGTTCCTGATGCCTAAACCACCTACCTTATCGACTCCACATATAGAGTTTCGATATCTCATCGAGTCCAAAGGGTCTTTACAATCTTTATGAACAGTCAACTATCCACCACTTGCCATGGGCATTTGGAAAAAATGACTTTAACTAGAATACTTGATAGAACCACCTAATGAGAGTCGGAGGCCACTAAAGGATAAGACATTTTTGAATGATTGTGTTATGCAGCATAAGTCATTTGGCCTTCTCAAAGTATTTATGTATGTATGACACTTTAATTTTGGCGATTGTCCTATATATAGGGCGATTGCCCTATGTATTTATGTATGTATGACACTTCTATTTTGCCGATTGCCCTATATATTTGGCGATGGCCCTATATATTTATGTATGTATGACACTTTTATTGTGTTATGCAGCATAAGCATATGTGTTTGATGAAAACATGCATTAGTTTTGTGCCATGCTCCCGAGGCCTTGTAGATTTGGCAGCTGAGCACATTTGATTGATAGGAATGCTTGTTATGCAATGTAAAACTAAAAAGTCGACAACTATTTTTACACAAAAATATTTTGGGAATATGATAGAGATGATGAGTGTCTTAGGAGTTTAGAGAGGTGGGCGTTTTAGTGGTTTCATGCAACTGTTAGGAGAGGAGTCGAAAAGGAAAACTCTCATAAAGGTAACATTTTGATTTACATGGCTAAGAATGTCTCATATGAAAGCTAGCATGTGAATAGTATGCAGACCAATTGGTCTCTGCTATCAAAAAAAAAGAAAAGGCCAAAAAGAAGAAGCAGGAAAAAAAAGCTTGAGCACACTAGATATCTGATCCTAACGTTCTTTTCCTACAAATCTACAGAGTTTCAGGTTTCAGAGCTTTCTCCAAAGGTTGAAAAATTACATAAAAGATGCCTAGAAAGGTTAGGTGGAGAGATCCACCTAAATCATATAAGAGGCATTCCAGCTTATTTTTGGAGAGATCCACTACTTCAGTTTGATGCAACTCAGAAAATGATTCGGGAATTGTTCCTGTTAAGTTGATTGTTTGGGATGTTCAATATAATGAGTCCTTTCCAGTGGCCCATTTCCCTGTGCATGGGACCACTAAGCTTGTTTGAAGAGAGATCGATTCCCATGATAATAGAGAGAATGAGTCCATTGTATCCATATTCATTGCCCTTATCGAATTAGCCACCTCAACATAATCCCATTCACCATTTTCATATCATCATCCAAGCTTTATTCCGGCTATTCGGGGTTGCCTTCATGAAATACGTGTGGCAAAAGTTCTACACTGTTTGCATGACCACCTTGTGACTAGCCATGGCAGAATTCATTCATCTTTTTCATGTAATGGATATAATAATGGTTTTGATGTGCCACTTACTCAACCGGAGTTATTATTGAAGCAAGGAGCTATGGAGCTCTCTAAATTGTTTCAAGAAAGATCCAAGATGGCAACTGTTGTGGCTAACACAGGTCATGAGGAACATTGCCTCCTAAGTGGTCCCTCAAAGTTGTTCTTTGACAATTTCGAATACCCTAATGTCATGTCCATTAGTTAGACTGGGGGTAACTTTCCTGAGAGGTTGCTGACAAGTCCAAAGTAAAGAAAATGTTTGGCAGATTGGATGGTACCTTTCCTGAGTAGTTGAAGCATAAGCCCGAATCGACGAAATTCCCTTAGGTGCTAATAGAAGAATCGATGATACCCCATAAAGAGTTATGGGATATGTTTAGTTTCGACAGATAGGCAAAGTGAGTGAAGAAATCCATAGGTATCTCCATTAATTTTGATGTCATATCCAAATGACGAATATTAGTTTGAAATACTGGTGCAATGAGTGGCCCCCTTGGCATATTCCCTCACAAATACAAATCCAAATCAACTGATTCTGTCATCCAGTAGTGATGCCTCCTGCCAAAATTTTTTTTTTTGGGTAATTAATGGGAAAGACAGACCCTACTTGTTTGAAGGTATCAGTGGGTGGTGCTGGCAAGAATGGAAACCACAATGTGGTAACTAAGTATAGGGGTGTTTCCACCACGACCCAGCCCCTTCCCTATACCTCCTGCCAATTTAGAGTAAGAGAAAACATGACGATGACCTTAATGAAAACCCAGCTACGGAAAGATTAAAAAATAATCTCTCTCACTCTCAAGTTATGAAGATGACCCTTAATTTATTTATTTTATTTATTTATTTTGTTGAGAAAACATCAAGATACCTTAATGAAAACATGGGTAGCAGACTCAGCATAAAAGAATGATTTATTTGTAAGAGCAGCAAGAAATCACGGCTCTTCTTCAGTCGAAAGAAAGGCTGAATCTTAAACGCCCATCTGCCACGACCTGTATTTACAACGGGTGAAAGAGGAGTACTAGATGGGGCTAGTAAAAGCATGTTTGCTTGGAGAAAGCACTGCACGTTTGCTTAAATAGTTTCCTTTTAGTAAATTAATTTCTTAGGCAATAGATTTCTATGATTTATATTTCTCATACTCTTTCTTCTTATGCTTGGTAATACTGTTCAGATTTAACTGTGAAATTATTTTCTGTCGTTTGGTAATCTGTTTGGAAATCGACCATCTTAGAATTCACCTATTTTTTATATTTAATTGTAATCCCATATATCGTTGAGAAGGCCTTGATACCTATCGAATGAATAGGATATCTTGAAAATTACCTATCAGGACTAACAAATTGGACAGTTCAAATCATTAGATCCAAGTTCTTCTGTCCCTCTCTCTGAAAACATTAAAAACAATTGGATTTTAGCACAATGTTTAAATTTTATTGATCATAGAGCATGAGAGGAACCATTGATGGTGAAATTGAGTGGTTAATTCACCCTGGAGTAAAGAAATCCATCCTGGAGTAACGAACAAGCTTTTAAAATATTGATATTAAATTTTTTTAAAATAAGCTAAATAGATTAACAGGTACATGTCCAAATAATGAAATTCAATTTCATTTTATTTCATTCATGAAAAAGAGAGCTTTCAAAACATCATTGTCTATAAAACCCAACGATATTAACAACTCATGCTTTCTATCATCCCTCTCCAAAACAATGAAAAACTTTCGATTTCTGAGTCAAGAGGAGAGAGAGAGAGCGAGAGAGATCCTCATGTGCCAATTTCATAGTCAACTTCTTCCATCTTGCTCTCCTCATAGCTATCCTCCTCAAGCGGAGGTATATTGTTTGCTGCCTCATCTTCATTGATGCTCAGACCAAACTTAAGCATCCTATGGACTCTCCTTGCAAAATTGTTGGGGCCGTCCAAGCTGAAAACTGATGTGAGCAATGCAGACTCAAAAGTGGAGCATCACCAAGTCCTTCACCGACTGGTCATTCTTATCAGCCCCCACTCTACTCTCTTCCTCAACTTGTGTTTTGTGAATCCTCATGGATACCGTACTTCAAGTTCTTAGAGAAGGCTTCATAGAACTCGTTCCCTACAATTTCAAATAACACCTCAATGCACTTCTTTACAAGGTTCTTTTCAATAAGTTGAGTATCTTGTTTTGCAGCAACATCTATCCACAGATGTTAAGGGCAAGTCATCAGAATTCCCTCAACAAATCCCAGGTATCCAGGGATGAGCTCCTCATAGTTTCCATGATAAACACCATGCACACATAGAGCTTGACCACCATTAATAAGAAAGGTACTCATTGCTATGTCAACAGAAATACAGTACATAGATAGGATAGAAAGTGAGAGAAACCCTGATCTCATCAATTTAGCATTCATAGAAACAAAAAGAAAACGGACTAATCAGACTTATGACAAAGAGAAAGAAACTCGGAATGAGTATAGCATTAAAATGATTATCGTTCTATGCTAGTCCTCAATAAAAAAGTCCCATTGTAAACAATTTGCAACATGTTGGAAGAAACTGGGGAAAAAACAAACCAAAATAAAAAGAAAACTGGATTATTCAGAGAAGGATCACAATATGAATGGTAATGAAGTTCATGTGCAACACAATTCTATCCATTTTTCCTAACTAGCCATTGAAATTTCACAAAACACTCTCACGTACTTGCATTCCTCCCCACAAAACACAAAGTTGATCTACTCACCACCAAAACAAGAGCCTGATAATGACAAAAATGAACGAACACCTGCATCGATGATTTTACATAAAATTTTACTTGAAGAGGATGTAGTAATTTTTCACCCATGATTAAGAGTATCATACAACCAGAGAAAAAAAATTAAATAAAAGAAAATAAAATTTCATTTTCTAGTCAGAAAAACTCCCAAGTCAACTTGAATCACCCAATTGTAGAGATTTATAAATGAAAAACTCAGGATATGCCTGAGTTTTTTTGTTATACATAACATTCATTGTCATTTTGTCCATAAATGGCATTTTCTGATGTGGTATCGATGAGGTTAGTCTTGATTACTGCCCTGAAATTCCTATAAACACACTACATAAACTTTTAACTGTTTAACATGGCAAGTCGCCCCAACCTTGGCAGCAACTGAGTCAGCTACCGAGTTCAAGTTTTTGAACTGCAGAAACATTTAATCGCATAGTTATTCCTCCACATTGAGCACCAAAGGTCTTACATATACCCATATCTATTCCAAGGAAAAGTAACAATGTGCCCCCCCTCAACCCACTTCTTAGTTCCCATAAACTTATGGAGCAAAGCGTACCCATCTAGTATCAGTTTACTTCAAGAAGATCCAGTGGCACAGAGCAGATTTTTCAAGGAAGAGATCGCACACAACACACATAATTTGATAAAAGCCAACAATCAGCTAAAGAAATGCACAATAGAGTGCTTGACAAGGAAAAGATTAATCTAGCTTAGTGCTCAATATGTAATCTTTGTTAGCCATCAAATTATTCATTTGATAGAAAAAGCCTCAGTACTCAAATATTAATTGGGTCATAGCTAATCATAAGCGCATTGATAAAGTGAAGAGAATAGACCAGGTATCATATTGAATCCCAATAGAACAACACTACTATGGGGGAGCAAAAAATCGTGTGCATGCCTATAACATTCTTGCATTTATTTTGACCGTACAAAACAGCGACACCAGTATCATAAGAAAAACAAATATCACTTCTCAGAATCTTTCTCTTTGGTGCACTATGACCAGATTGGCAAATTTTCAACAATTATTTTGAACACGTTAATCTATGTGTCCCTCATGCAACATGGCAAAATCTTTCACCTTTTTTTTTTTTCCTCTCAAGTTTTTATGATATTTTCTTAGGCAAAAATGAAAAATTTGCATCTCCTAGGCAAGAGATGGCCATGAAACATTATATCCTCAAGTGTAACTCATGACATGATGATCGCTCAAAAATTTTAGACCATTCGGCATGTACAAGATCCAGTTCATTGCCTCAATGTACAACGTACCCACTTATTTCAGGACCTATTTTCATCAAGATCTCTACAAAAGATATGACTACTCAGCTAAACATTTTACAGTTAGATCCAACAAAGTCAATGAACTTGGGCCCCAAAAAAGAAAAGCACTGGTAAATGAAAAAAATGTGCTGCCAACATCAAGTAACACATGTTGGAATGACGATGATATTAAATGACATGCTGTATCATAAGAATGTCCTCCATTGTCTTGCTTCTGGATATCATCAGTCGTCATGTACATGTTCAGTAGCAGTGTATCTACTATTAAAATGAAAATCCAAAGAGAGCTTATGAGCTCCAAAATTATGCACATGTTGCATGTGACTCAAAACAAGTGAAACAAAGTTTCTAGTTTACTTCTGACATTCCTGAACACAACACAAGGTTTGTAGTGCAAATGCAACTAAAGTACATCACAGAATAATTCAAAATTTTCAGAAATGGAGGAAACGGAATCCAAGTTGCATGCCCTAAAAAAAAAGTAATGCATTTCTAGAGAACTTGACAATACCAAAGCCAGGATACAAATGTAGGAAAGAAATTCCTACACAAATAAAAAGGTAATCAATGAACTTACCATGTACATTGATCTCCTGCCGCATATTAGCCAGAAATTATATACAGTAATATTTCAAGAGCTGCAGACAGATCAAAATTAAAATGACGATTCACAAATGACAAAATGCAATTCTGTCAGCCAATGTAAAGAACCAATCTTCAAAAAATTCAGAAGCAAACCAACTATTAGCTCTACCCAGAGCTAAATTCGAATTGAGGTCACAAATACCTATAGATTGATTAGGAGGCATGACAATTGATAGTGACAAGTCCCTCTTTTGGTTAACAAAACCATCCATTATCATGCTCATGGCCATCAAGAGCCATATAATAGTTTTTCAACCAGGTTCGCTAAGAAAGTTGGTCTCCAGTGGCTAATGCCTACTTGACACTATTGACCAGGAAGCCACTCTCAATAAACTAATTTATGGACTCACATTTAGTATTGAGGAGTAATATTTTGAAAATCATATTCTCATTATGACATTATTTGAAAAAATGGCAAGGTAGAGATAGTTACCCCTAGCTGATTAGGAAACAAACCAAGTCCGCAATGCTAGGATAAAACAAGACAATTAAGAGGGAGCTCTAGCAGCTGAGTAAGGTATTTGAGACAGTAAAGTTGATGAATCAATTTCAAGAAGAGACTTTTTATTAAAAGGTCCTTAAAACAGCGCTTAAGAGAAGACGGACACTCTTATGCAACTATAGCATGTGAACAGGATTACCTTTTGAAACAGTTGAGAGGTGTAACTCTAATTATGGTCTATGCCCCAGCAGGTGGATCCTGAAATGTAGGGCATGAGAATTGAGTCATAAGCTCTTACTAAGCAGATGCTTGGCAACTCCCTGATAAGCACACCACAGACCAGATTCACAGCATTCAGAACCGAAGGCTTTGCATTAATGCAAATGGGGATGATTGGGACAGGCAGACAGCCTAGTTCGGAAATCTTGATTTATGTTCACTAAACATGACAAAGAGGCTACTCACGTGAGGTGATCAATGGGATTTTTCTAGGCTGAACTGCAAGTGTATGCAACATGTACAGGATGTTAGGTATTGATTTGGTCGGTGGAACGGTTTTTGATTCCTATTCTGCGTATGTTTTTTGTTTCTTGCCTCGCTAGATTATTTCGTTTTGTAATTCTGTTCTTCAGTGTGAAGCACAAATCAGGAATGCCCAAAAATACAAACTTTATACTAATCAACAGAACTACAAAACCAAATAATCTAGTAAGACAATAAACAAGAAACATAGGCAGAAAAGAACCAGAAACCACCCAAACCATTTCGCAAAGCACATCCAAAAGTCTCTAAACGTTGCATAACTTGCAAACCACAAATATTATAACAAGATAGTACCAAAGTCCTTAGCTATTGCATAAACTTGTATCACAAATATTATAGAAAAAAAAATCCTAAAATTTTTAAGGTGATAAAATCACAATTAATCCAACGTACAGTAATGTTGTCAACAGTCATACACAAATCGCCTTCTTTTTTAGTTCCTTTTCTTAAAAAAAGGAAATGTCATAAATGGAGGCTTCAAATCAGTATATATGCACATGAGCTCCCAAAGGAAGGAACAAAAGCACATATTTCATTAACTTTGAAAACACCCATGACCAGAATTACAATTGGATTTTAAATCTGCACTTATTGCCAATTATGGGGGAATTGGCATAGCAATCAGACCACAAGGTTGATTAGCATGCAAAACATACAATCTAACAATCAAAGTTCTCAAAATTAGTACTTCGTTTCGGCAAACCACACATCAGTTTCAGATGACATCAAGCTTCGATTCCACGGAGACAGCTTTCAAGGGAATGCACACCTTGCTTCCCCAAAACAAACCCACAAACTAAGATAAGAAGCATAACCTGGAATGATCCGAAAGGATTGAGACCCACCATCAACTCGTGGTCAACACCCTGGCACCCACCCTATCAAGCTTATGAACACTAGCATTGGCCCTCAGCTTCCCGCCCTTCAAGAAGGCCTCCACCATGGCCCGTCCAATCTCCTGGCCCCTCTCCTCGAAATCCGTCACCGCAACTGCCGTAGGCCCAGCTCCACTGATGGTGCAACCGTATGCCCCTGCCTCCACTGCTGCCTCCTTGACCTCTGCCATCCCTGGAATCAGGCCCTTCCTCCTTGGCTCCACTAAAGTGTCAGAAGACATCGCTAGCCCCAAAACCCTGGCATCCCCCTGCAGGACCCCAGCCACAAGCGCCCCTGCCTGGCTACAATTGGCCACGTGATCCTTCATCGTAATCTCGTCAGGCAAAGCGGCACGCATCTTCTTTGTCGGGGCTTCAAATTCAGGGGCTGCCAACACAAAGAAGAGGTCCTTGTCAGCTGGGAAGGGGAGGGAGATCAGGGTTAGCGGTGCGTAAGTCTGCACCAAGACGAAACCACCCACGAGAGCGGGAGCGATATTGTCAGCATGGTAGCCGGAGACTGTAGCCTCAGATTCAAGACCAGCGAGTACAAGATCAGAAACTGGGAGACGGTTTCCGAATAGGTGGTTTACAGCCAGGGCACCAGCAGCTGCACTGGCGGCACTCGAGCCGAGGCCACTGCCCAAGGGGAGGCCTTTGTGAAGGGAGAGAGAGAGGCCGCATGAGCGAATACCCAGCATTTTCATGGTTGCAATGGCGGCAATCCCCGCACAATTGAAGTTTGGGTTGAGGCTGAGCTTCTTCTTGGGATCCCCATGAATGGAAGTGATTGCAAGGCGACCAGGGGGAGTTTCCGGATCGATTTTAAGGGTGACGCTGTCACCCATCCCATCAACCGCGCAGCCGAGGAAGTCAAAGCCGGGGCCCAAGTTCGCAATAGTGGCAGGGGCAAAGGCGGTCACCTCGGCAAAGGCGGGTTCAGGATCGGATTCTGTCTCTATGGAACTTTGGTGGATGACACGTTGTTGGGGTGCCGAGAAGGCAGTTAGCGTTAGGGTTTTAGGAAGACGTAAAAATGGAGGGAAAGAGAGGCCTGGAAGAGAAACTGGATCAGATTTTGAGGAAAGGGATTCTGTTGGGAAGGAGAAGGCAGTGGGGAGGCTGCAGAGGCTCATCTCGGCTCCGAGAGGGGGATGGTTCGGCTCGGCTCAATCACTGTAATAAGGAAATGGTTAGAGAGAGTAAGGGCTTGTTTGGTTCATGCGTAACAGTCTGCATATGTGTGAAATAGTTTTCATATGTAAGCAGTTCCCTGTGCAAAAGTTTTCAATCCTGTTTTTTCCCATGTTTGTTTCACATTTCTGGAATTCAGGTGTACCCAGTTTCTTATGTTTGGTAAACCATTGGTAACTTGTCTCCTAGAATCTGGATCAATACTTATTTTTTTTAACCATTCGATTACTATATAGTTTATTTGATATCGACGTCCATTCCATTAAGATGATCTTTTAAAAACTTTCAATCTATATTACGTTAAAAAAAATGGATAGTTTCGATCATAAGGTTGGTTCACTTTATTAAATTATACAAGCATCAAGCCTTGGTTAACTAATCCGCACATTTTTTTTTGTTTGATCTCTCTATCTTGTAAGATTAATGAAAAAATATTTGTAGTACAAAATTTATCAATAGTTTTTTTCGTTCCAATGCATGAATACATCTTTAACGCATGATGTTGATATCCAATCTCAAAATGCATAACAGAGGTACAAGTACGATAAAAAAGAATGAAGAACGCACTACCATCACAACTACTACATCCTAAACCCTATTTATATCGTTCCCACATTGCATTAGCAATTTTGTCGCAGAACTTAACGTTATGGATTCATTTGACATGAAAATCCAATCGGGCAGGCTACCAAACTTGCGAGGGTTTTGGTCCAATCAAACTGGTGCAACGGCACTTTAAGGCCACATTCATTTTGCAACAAGGAAACAACCAAGACAATTTTTTTAAAAATATTTAATGATTAATGTTTTCTATACAGGTATTGAACATAAAGGTGATTGTATAAAATATCTATATATATTTTGGATGGTTATGCAAAAAGAATAAAAAATTTACTTAAAAGAACTCTCCCCATGAAATTGTTTTTGAGTTTTTCAACTATAATTTCACTTTCCTTTCATTGAAAAAATCCATTTAACTCCCACAAGAAATTATATATAATTCTAACAGCTAACAAGGTATCTAGTCAAAGACTAAACACATGTAGCTTATGAACATCTAATAACACAAAAAATCAGCATTAAATTAAATAAAGAAGGTAGACCCTCCTTTTCTTGTGCCCTTAGATTTTCTCAGTAATTATCTTACATAGAAAATACCAGAAAAAGAAAAAAAATGAATGTGAAAAGAAAAAAATTATTTCAAGAATTTAGATAGATTCTAAAAATTAAAATCCAGCATTGCATAACTAAGTTTATGCCCTTCAAATAAGCATTAACAAATAAAGAAATGAAAACAGGGCATCAATATCCAACAAAGCAACACAACTATTTCACTATTAATGACATAAAAAAAGGGAAAAACTTGCCACATAAAATTATCATCATCAAAAGTTGATGAAATGGAAATTCAGTCAGAAGAATCAGACTTACACAAAGAGTCATTGAAGAGGACAATTTTAATAATTGAATTTGTTAGTCTTCAACACAAGAGGGAGATAATCTAGTCAACTAATTGCACTTCTATTCACATATTCTCCACGGATTTGGTTTGCAGCATAATGATGTTTTGATCATGGAAGGAGTATTCCTCTTTGTGAGATATTATAAATATTACTATATTCATGTGTGTGCATATTTGCGCATATGAAATTATAAACATGCTGTTAATTTGGACATCCTAATATGAGATTATTTTAGCACATCTGCAGGGGTTCATAGCCAAAGTTAGTGCAGATTCTGCAAAAGTCTATGATGAGACTTATTTACATATGGATGACTCGAGGATAGCACCATTAAAGCGGATAACAACATTCCCCACAGTTTAGATGAAAGCATAATGAAAGGAAAACCCAAACTTTCCGTAAGGCTTGTTCATGATGATGAACAAGCCCCACTGTAAAACTCACAAAGCGGCTCTATACAACGTTCCCCACAGTTTAGATGAAAGCATAATGAAAGGGAAACCCAAACTTGCCACAAGGCTTGTTCATGATGATGAACAAGCCCCACTGTAAAAATCACAAAATGGGTTTTATACAACAGAAAAAACCAGCAAGAAATAAATAAATAAATAAAACAGAAAATACCAAAAAAAAAAAAAAACCATACGCAAATTGTGCTTCTATAATCAATAAAATAAGCCAAAAATAAAAAAATCAACAAATTTCCATAGGGAAATCATAGAAAAAATTATTTCATTGATAATTAAAAAATCAGAACCTCTAAAGGGGAAGATCCAGGAAAATCACAAGAATAAAACCCATACCCATGTTGAAGAAGTTCAAGAAGATGAGGTATTTTGTATGGGGGTTAGGGAAACCCTAGGTTGTTTGGTGAAGAATCTTTACACTGAAGAAAAACTAGAAAAAAAAAACAAAAGAAAACCAGCCAAAAAAAAAACTTACCTTGTTGAAGGAGATGAAAACTTGCAAATGGATCCTCACTTGAAGAAAATGAAGCTTGCAACTGAATCCCTGAAGGATCTGAGGTTCAGAGGCACAAACTCGTTGGATGACAATGCAGTGAGAGAAAGAGAGAATCTTTCGGGCACAGAGCAGAGAGAGCACAGGAGAGAGTTCAGAGATGTTAAATCTTATTTGGGTGCGGTTTGTATAGAGCCTAGGTTCCAAACAATCAAACTAGAGCCTACCTTCAAATAGTTTCGAGAAATGAAAATATTTGTCATAGCCTTAAAACATATTTTTATATTTATTTATAAAATTTAAAGTTTCAAAAATTTGATAATTTTTAAAATTGACGGTCCAAAAATACATTACAAAATATATTATTTCCAAAACTTATGATCTATTTTTTTCTTATGCCCATGCATATTGATATCAAGATGATCAATTTGAAGATATTTGGTCATCAAAACAATCTCTTCCCGTCAAATTTTTGAGGTAGGCTCAAATTTGATTGTTTAGAGCCTTATTTGTATAGAGCGTGGGTATAGTTTGTGTAGAGCTGAGGCTCTAAACAATAAAAATAAAACCTACCTTCAAATAGTATCGAAAAATGTAGTTTCAATACTATAAATCTTTGTGATTGCTTTAAAATATATTTTCATCTTTAATCATAAAATTTAAAGCTTAAAGAATAGTACAGATCGAACAGATTTATAAATTGAAAATCTAAAAAATTAATAGTAAAAAAATGCGTTACAAGCTGCACTATTTTCAAAACTTGAAATCCATTTTTTTTCTCATGTCTATGCATCTTGATATAGAGATGATCAGTTTGAAGATATTTGGGCATAAAAACAATATCTTCTAGTGAAGTTTTTGAGATGGGCTCCAATTTGATTGTTTGGAGCCTCTACATAAACTTTTTCCATTTTATTTTTTTCAAAACAAACATTCTTTTTACTATCTTCTTTTCCTTTCTGCAGGATCACTTTTCTTAAAATGGTACTTATGGTCCACAAATGCTTGTTGGTTAAATCTTTCATTTCTTTTGAGGGGCGACGTCGCGCCATCTTTCTCGATCCCGTTTCTATGCGGCCTTTATATGTAGAAATACAGGTTTATAAAATAAATTTATTTTTGAGATGGATTTTTTAACTTAATTTTTATGAACATGTAACCTCTAGCATGGAGGTCATGAATATGAAAAAATCAGTAAATTTTGAAAACTAATAATTCTGATAAAAAAATATTTAGATAGTTAATTTTCATTGTTTTTAGATAGAACTCCTACTTGCATCTATCTTTAAAATGGATGATTTACATATTTTTGAGCATCTATATTTTTGGAGGGCATATTCATGCGGTCCAACTCGCATGAAACAATTTTTTTTAATTAATTTATTACCATTGATTTTTGACACATGGGTGTGATGTATTAATACCGTCAGCACTCATGTGTCACATGCCATTATAAATCCTTTTTCCTCATAGAACGAGGTTGATTAGCCTTTAAAAACTTTTCAGAGAAAAAGGAAAGCAATAACCAGGGGCTCTTTTTAATGGGTGCAGTTGGCATACGGATGCACCCGTAGAGAGGTAAGGTGCGCCTTCAAATTTTATCATGGTATATAATTTTGATGTAAAATGTTCTTAGGATTTTCAAAATCTATTTTTATGTCTAGTTATAAAATTTTAAATTTTAAAAATAGTTAAAATAAAATAGATCTATAAACATATGAAATTCTTGAAAATGGATAGTGTAGATAATATATTGTAGAATGCACTATTTTTGAGACTTACGATCTTTTTATTTTTCATGCTCATACATCTCCATGTCGAAATGATCAATCAAAAGGTTTTTCAACATTAAAACTACCTTTTCATGGATTTTTGAAATGCATCCGTAGCTCTACATTATAAGGTTACAACCTTATATAAACTTTTTCTCTTTTTAATACTCTCTCTTTCTCTCTAAGTTCTTTAGTTTCCCAGGTACCTACATTGATGAAAATCTTATGAAAACATGTTGAATGTCATGAGGACTGGTGCTCCATCGTTGAGTTTTTACTGAGCTCTGCCTTTAATACAGGGTTGCTCACTGATTGAGACGGTTGTACGGGTTTTGTAAAGCATACGTATTTATAGAGCAGTTGGTCGTAGTTGCTGTGGCATTCATGGAGATAGTTAGAAATATATTAATATTATTTTGATATAATTTTAAGCGAATCTTTGAACGTTATACTCAGATCTAACTGTATCTTGAGAGTGCTCTTATTGGTACTTTTTCATCTCGATTTTTGTAGAGTCAGAGGTATCAAACACTTCGAAGAAAGTGTGTTGCTCGCATGTCCCTAGATCTTGGACCTATGTTTTTACTATGTATAACCTCCAAAACCTACTTCAATTCTTATGGGAATTCGATTGGTACTAAGAATGTTTTTATTGTCAAATATAATTTTTGAAACTTGTTCTAATTCCTATATGAATTCGATTGGTACTACGAGTGTTTTGATATTCTTTTGATACTATTCCTATATAAAGGGCGATACAGCTAAATTTTCAAAAATAGGGTGACAATCAATAATGTATAAAAACCAATGTTTAAAAAAACGCTGAGTCGAACCGGACTCGCCCGGTTCGACTCAGAAATCGCCATGGACGGATTGAATTGGCGAAAAAAACGGGAATCGTCCGGTTCTAGAGAGAACCGGACGATTCTGTACAGTGACTCGCCGATTCACTGTACGAAATCGGGCGACTCCGTACAGTGACTCGACGAGTCCCGTACGGATTTTTTTTTTTTGTTGTTGTAATCCATGATAGATTTTTTTGTAATACTTGATCAATTTTTTTGTAATCCATGATCGAATTGTTTTTTTTTTTTGTAATCCATGATCGAATTTTTTGTAACCCATGATAGAATTTTTTGTAATCCATGATCGAATTTTTTGTTTTTTTGTTTTTTTTGTAACCCATGATAGAATTTTTTGTAATCCATGATCGAATGTTTTGTGATACATGATCAAAA